CAAGAACGTCATATTATTCTGAGCCAATTTGAATCCAAGAAGTATGACGTTCGTGACAACCATCTTCTTAGTTACCTTGACTACCCCTGAGATTCCAGTTAAAGCCAGTAAGCGTCAAAATCGTCTCTAGTACTGAGTGAGCCATCTGTAAAGGCGCTCCACGCGCCGTTTCCCTAATTTGTGCTTTAGGGGGGTCTGACCGGGTGTTATTTTCCACGGTCTATTTTTCTTTGTTGACATGTCATCCAGTATGGTTTTGACACCTGTCAAATATAGCCTATTCTAACAGTCGTACTGTAAAACGGCGTTACGTCCATACACCGTTATTTGTGGACGACCTCTAAAGAACACGGTCGACATATAAAAGAAATAAATAAAAATAATAAACTAACGCTTTTTTTCATATCAGACTTGTGCGACTCGCTTCTTACTAGCTCGGACAATACCTATAAAATAAACAATAAATATAATGACTCGCGATGTAAAATAAAATAAAATAGAATATACAAACATTTGTTACTGCGTGGATACGAGAAGACGCCTATAACTAAATATCGAGATGGTAACGATATTTACATTAGACTATTTTATGATGTACATTCGTGCAAAACCGCATCAAAATCCAATCAGTAAGTCATGAGAAAAACATTTATGAACTTTATATTTTTTCTCGGATATTGACACACAACGATTACATTCCTTAGCTAATTTAATTTAGCCTTTATCCTTGCCGTGTGATGCCGGCTTCGTATAGCATCACCCCAATTCTACCCGCAGGTTTGGACTGCGCTCGCAAAAGCGCCTGCCAAGCGTGGTGAGTATGGCAATACCTTCCGATACGGGGAGGCTCATTTCCAGCAGTGGTCTGTTGTGGCTGTTAAGGTAATAAACATATCAAATTTTCATTATCCTTGGCTGTCACTTTCTCTTCTTCAACTTTTTCGCCAATCTCAACGATGATCCCTTCAGCGAGTTGTAAGTGCGTATGACGCAAGATCCACATAGAAGACGTGAGTCGTAACGCGTGGGATGACATCTGCCAGACAAGTGATCGTCGGTCGGCCGTCGCGCGTCTCACGTGTGTAGCTTTTTTTCTTCTGTTTCATACATTTTATATCGAAACGGTTTCAAGCGTCGCGATGTCGCACGTCTCAAGTCTTCTTTGTGGAGCTTGCCTATGAATTCCTATAGTAAAGTTTAGGAAATATAATTTGCCCGTCGACACGCTGATAAATCCTACCAAATTATATTTCCTGATCCCAATTGGTACAAAGGACTCTGGAGAGTTTCTTCCTTTCCTCCCTGTTCTATTAAAGTAATAATAGTAATAAATATACCAAATTGTCATTATCCTTGGCTTTCATTTTCTCCTCTTCAACTTTCTCGCCCATCTCCACAAGTTTCTCGAATTCGGCGACGCCATTTTTCAGCTCGTTGTACGTGCCTTGCGCGACTATCTGAAAATTATACCAATAGATAGATGAAAATAAGAAATTGAAAAAATTATCTGCATCGAACCCGGGCCACATGGGGGGTAACCCCTCTGCCACTGAGCCATCACCAATCAACTGCCAACTAAGCTAGCAATATCTAGCAGAAGGTATTTTTTTTATCTTATCTTATCCACATTTTACCAAACAAATTGATGTTTTTTGTATATTGGCTTAAAACAAATCTAATATTCGTCAATTTTACGAAAAACAATCGCCCAATAACTCTCGCTGCGCATAACTCAGATAGCCCAGTTGGTAGAGGTGAGCCAGTGTAGTAAAATAAGAATTTGTGGAAAAGTTACACCAGGTAGTAAATTGAGAATGTTAGGTAAAGTGTAGGTGTTGTAAAGTGGGCATTTATGAAAAACTGAAGATGTGTAATAAAGTAAGAATGTTTGGTAAAGTGAGAATGTTAGGTAAAGTGTAGTAAAGTGAGCATTTGTGCAAAAGTGTATACAGGGTGTTAGGGACGGTGTACTGAAAGCTTTGCAAAATTCCGACCTCCCATACAAAGTCAGTCAGCTGATCGTGTATTTTGTACGGGAGGTCCGAAATATTTTTTCGTTTCCCACCATTGGCTCCATAGTAAAAGTTGTTCAGTTTCATGGTCTGAGCACGCCTGCAAAGTTTTCGTTACACCGTCCCTAACACCCCGTATGTGTGGTAAAGTAAGAATTAGTGGATAAATGAACGAGTGTAGTAAAGTGAGCATTTGTGGAAAAGGGAACATGTGTGGTAAAGTGAGAATGTGCGGTAAATTGAGCATATGTGGTAAAGTGAGCATTAATGGAAAAGTCAACATAATATGTGGTAAGGCAAGCGTGTGTAGTTAAGGGCGCCTGGTAAACTTTTACGTACTTTCCCTTGTCGCATGACGCAAACGTTGTCCGCTTTTCGCGCGTATTGTACATGATGTGTAACTAAAACCACAGCTTTGTCTCTGAGAAAACCTCGGATGCACTCTTCGTAGATTGCAATAATCATTTCAATAATCAATAATCAGTAATATGTCCTTTGATTAAATCCATTTTCTTCGATAGTGCCGCTCTGACAAATCATCGCCATTACGATGCCAAAATACGACATTATCTAATAAATGGCTTGTTAGAGCGGCACTATCTAAGCGAATGGACTTTAAATCATTCATTGCCACAAACATATCTATTAAAACTGATTTCTTACTAACTTTTTCTCGCGTGGGTGACGTGTACGACCTGATGAACCCTGATTATACCGAGAGTAACAGAAAGGGTATAACAAGCCGAAAGGAGGTCAAGGTACTTATGAAACTGAACAACTTTCCCTAAGGAACATGGGTCAAAATATGAAAAAAAAAATTGGGCCTCCTATACAACATCGCCGATCAGCTAATTGACTTACTATGGGAGGTCCAAATTTCTTTTTAATATTTCGACCCATGTTCCTTAGGGAAAGTTGTTCAGTTTCATGAGTACCTTAGCCTCCTTTCGGCTTGTTATACCATCTTTGTTAATCCCTCGAATATTCCTCTCCCGGTATATGTACTAACCTTCCCTTGTCGCATGACACAAACGTTGTCCGCTTTACGAGCGTATTGTACAGGGTGGGCCAAAAGAAGTCATCCGATGTGATTTGTCTCCCATTTTTTAATTAGTCCTTAAAATTCACTTCTGTTTTCGGAAATCAATCTTTTAAAGATTCAAAATTTATGTGATTATGTTTTAAAAAAAGACATTGGTCAAATTGAAAGCTCATGAGTCAAATCAAAAATAGTCTCTGAAAAGCTCCCTTCTTGTGTTAGAACGGTCCCCATTTTTTTTTTAAATATGTTAGAATAAGTTTTGTTATCACTAAATAATCCTTCGAAGATGTGAACTCAATGCTGTAAAATAAAAAATAAAGAAAGCAGTTAGATGCCAACTCCAGAATTGATGCAAGTTGGTGAAAACCAATCCACAGGATTTGGTTTTTGAACCGGTTGGTCAGATCTCCAGATCCGACAACGCCACAATTCACCCAATGGTATTTTTAAAAGTTCAAGATTACAAATTACAATGCATAAAACTTTTAAGTCCCTGAAGCCACCACAAACAAAAAAAAGACATGGTCAAGAACGTATGGAAATAAGCGTGTTTAAAGTTAAAACGTACGGTAGAGATGGCAAGTTAACTAATTTCTTTTTAAAAACATAATCACATAAATTTGACATCTTCGAAATATTGATTTCCGAAAACAGTAGTCGATTATAATGTCTAATAAAAAAATGGGAGGTGATTCACATAGGGTGATTACTTTTGGCCCACCTTGTACATGATGTGTAACTAAAACAACTGCTTTGTCGCTCTGCCTACCCCGCAAGAGATAAAGGCGTGAAATGTGTATTGAGATTTTTAATGCACTTACTGTGCAACATTATTTTCATAAATTGAAAAATGAGAAAATTGAAAAATTCTCCAGCGACCGCCGGGATTTGAACTCGAGACAAGCATCAAGGGGCTGAGAATTTCACCAGGGTCCACCAGGCGCCCGTAGCTCAGTTGGCAGAGCTGTGGGACGGTACCCTACGGTCCCTGGTTCAAGTCCCGGCGGTCGCTAATAATTTTTTCAATCTTCTCATTTTTCAATTTGTGATCCGCCTTCGCCGCGATGTGCACATCCTTTCTATCCTCTACAGGATCCTTAACGACCCATCCTCTCCTGTTTATCTCCGCTCCCGCTTCCATGTCTTACCTCCTGATCCCAGGCCTAGGCGCGCATGTATCACCAAGGTACTTGAGTGCCCTAGAGCTAATACCAAATTCCTTTTTAATTCCTTCACGGTTCGAGCTACGCAATTATGGAATGCACTTCCAAAGTCCATTCAGGACTCTCCGAGCATAACATCATTCAAACAAAGAGTGAAAGAGCACTATTTATCGCAACAACCTTGATAGTTATATTGTATGTATTGATTATTTATATATATTTATATATACGTTTTATTATATATAGGTAGTCATAATTATATGTAGTTTCTTTTTTTTTCTTGTTTGTTTATGTATTATATGTATGTCCCTATCTGTATGTGTACACGGTTTTGTCATTCCCTTATTGTTTATTTTCTAATTCCACTGTGCAGGTTGGCTGGAAGAGATCTCTTCATAGAGATAAGCTCACCTTTGTGACTATGTTTATCAATTAAGTTTATTGTAAATTTTAAGTGCACAATAAAGAATATATGTCTACGTGTATTGTTCTTACTTTCCCTTGTCGCATGACACAAACGTTGTCCGCTTTACGAGCGTATTGTACATGATGTGTAACTAGAACAACTGCTTTGTCGCTCTGCCTACCCCGCAAGGGATAAAGGTGTGAAATGTGTATTGAGATTTTTTATGCACTCACTGTGCTACATTATTTTCATAAATTAATGTATGTAATGTATTTCATAAATTGAAAAATGAGAAAATTGAAAAATTCACCAGCGACCGCCGGGATTTCAACTCGAGACAAGCATCAAGGGTTGAGAAATTCACCGGGGTCCGTCAGGCGCCCGTAGCTCAGTTGGTAGAGCAGTGGCACGGTACCCTACGTTTCCGGGTTCAAGTCCCGGCGGTCGCTAATAATTTTTTCAATCTTCTCATTTTTCAATTTGTGATATTTATATTGTTCTTACTTTCCCTTGTCGCATGACGCAAACGTTGTCCGCCTTACGAGCGTATTGTACATGATGCGTAACTAGAACAACTGCTTTGTCCCGGAGAAAACCTCTAATGCACTCTTCGTAGATTGCTTGAGCAGCTTTTTATTATGTCCTTTGATTATGTCTATTTTCTTAGGTAGTGCCGTTCTGACAAGTCATCGCCATACTACGATGCCAAAATATGACATTATCTAATAAATGGCATTGTTAGAACGGCACTATCTAAGCGAATGGACTTTAAATCGTTACAAACATAACTATTAAAATGATTTCTTACGAACTTTTTCTCGTGTGGGTGATGAATACGATCCGATGAACTCTGATTATATATTCTGTGTCAGAGTTCTTCAACCACATATACTAGTAGCAGGCCTCTGATGTGGTTTTTATTTACTTAGCACTAGCATATTACATATCCTCACCTTTCCTTGTCGCATGACGCAAACGTTGTCCGCTTTACGAGCGTATTGTACATGATGTGTAACTAGAACAACTGCTTTGTCGCGGAGAAAACCTCTAATGCACTCTTCGTAGATTGCCTGAGCTACCTGGAAGGAAAAAATGGCTTGAATCGTATCGTAATCTTGAATATTTTTCCCGTGATCAGAAGTTAAGTAGCCTTTAATCAGAGATTGAGTGTATTGGAATTTTTAATGCACTCACAGCGCTATATTATTCTCATAAATTCAATAATGAGAAAATTGAAAAATTCACTAGCGACCGCCGGGACTTGAACCCGGGACTGTTGATCAACGTTCCACCGCTCTACCGACTGAGCTACGGGCGCCTAGCGGACATTAGTGAATCTTTCAACCTCTTGATGCTCGTCTCGAAGCGACGATTAAGCGACATCTACTGTAACGTGGACTAACCAAAGTAATTAGTTGTAAAAACTACTACTAGATGTCGCTTACTATGGATGGGATGTTCTTATCACTAGCCGATTCTGAGTTTTCGCTATCGGTCACTAGTAAAATTTCACCCCATATAAGGTCCTATTAAATTCACTGCAAATATTTTAAGGGCATGCGTAAATATGAATAAGAAAAACATCCAAGGTATTTAAAAAACAATCGACGCGGTTGTTTTTTTTTTTCATTTTAAAATTAAACTTTTTAATTAAATACGTGAACACCTTTGACTGACCCGATATGACGTTCCGTCACGTAGACAGGATTCACTTACACGGCACGCACACTAACAACCAACCAATCACCACCAAATTCATCAAAGTAGCGTTGGTGGTGTGTTTCTAGGACAAACAGGGTGCACATTTTCGTTTTTTTTTGAAGATTTCATTAAAAAATTGCCTCGTACATATGCTTACATTTTATTTGATCTGCCCCTAAAATATATAAGTATATCAAACCTTAGCATCTACGGCAGCTAATGGGTCGTCCAGTAAATAAACATCAGCGTGTTGGTAAACGCAACGCGCTAACGAAATTCTAGCGCGTTGTCCGCCAGAGAGTGACGCACCTGTAAACAAGTAGATGTGTTAAAAAACAAAAACTCGACTGCGGTCATTGCAAAGAAGCATTTTGCTGTAAAAATCCGCCATCTTGAATCTAATTTTTTCAATATAGCCAGTGTCACTCGCGCTACTGAGACGAATCTAACGACACCTCATATGTCAAAATCCAACAATCCGTTTGGGCTGTAGCCCATGAAAAAGAATTTAATTGTCCACATACAAACATACATACATACTCTCGAAAAACATAACCCTCCTTCTGAGGCAGTCGGGTAAAAAACTCAAATCAATACATTGTACACACGATAGGACCCCGAAGAAACAAATTAGGGAGAAGGCGCGGGGCGGCTTTACAGATGGCTCACTCTTATAGCGACGGTTTTGACGCTTACTGGAATGAACTGGAATCTCCGAGGAACTCAAGGTAACTAAACTAAGAAGATGGTTGCCACGAACGCCATATTTCTTGGATTAAAATTGGCTCAGAATCATTATTACGTCCGGAATAATTATTTTGTATTAAATGTTGGTGTTTTAATATTCTTATACTGAAGAGATTTTTGACAGTAGCAACCCTGGCTATGTAACAAGTGACAATCGCTAAAATATCAAATAAGGTCGAGTGAGCCCTCTGTCCGGTAAGGCTTTGCCTCAATACATACGAGTTAGTACCTACTACCTAGGTACCTAATCGTACTTGCTTCTCGAGAAACTAAACCTAAGGAAAATAAAAACAATTCATCAAAGTGATCATCGAATCAAATTTCAAAGTACGACAGTTTCACGCTATACACTGTATCACGCTACGAAATTCTCTTGAACATTGAAATGAAATAATCTTATAGAATAGTGACTTGACGACGGATACGTACCTCTCTCTCCAACAACAGTTTTATCTCCATGAGACAGTATTTCCAGATCAGACTTGAGTTGGCAACATTTGATCACTTGCTTGTATCTTCGAAGGTCCATATCCTGACCGAATAGGATGTTTTGACGCACCTGGAAAAGAAAAATAAACATAAGCAGATTTATACAAAGTATACGCAATTTTCTGACCGATTGCCTTGATCATGCTTGCGATTTTTTCCGGCGAATTCTCGGCAGAGCGTGATCGGTACAAGACTACTACGACTACGTAGTAGTAGTGTCTTCTCGTTTAGAGTGAATTTTGTGATGTAATAGGAATGTAATGCAGTAGGCGGTACCAATTTTAAGTTTATTTATTTTATCTACACTCATTTCGTAATATTCGTTTTACAGAATCGAAAGTACGAACGTAATGAACTGCATTACGAATATACAGCCTTTAAAAAACTTTCATACTACTGGCAGCTACATAAAGTAACTCGATTTCAATATTTGAAAAAAAATTAAACGAATTGACCCGCGTACCAAATTGTAATCTGTTCCAATTTGACAATGGCCAACAGTAAGTCGAATAAAAAAAAACAAGTGTCACCCGGGCCATAGTCTAATACCTTATTATACCATGACCCGGGCGGGACGACACTTGAAATTATGAGGACTATTTATTATTAAATCTTTGCTTCAAATCATTTTTCGAATTAAAATTCACCGATAAATGCTTTTTAATTTTAAAATTTGTTCAGTTTTTATGAGCCTCCATTTTAACGTTTAGTTAAAAAGTTACTTATGTACAAAAGTCGTTCAGTTGGTGGTTTGGTAGTTAGGCGTGCAATCGCCATAGTGCAGTGCGGAGGTTTGAATTATTTTTCATAGTTTTTCTTGTAGAGTGTAGATAAAATAGTGTATGCAACTGCATATAATTAGGTTTTAGAATGCTCGTGTCAAACTATTATGTCAAACAGACACTCACATCCTAAAGCCTCTCATTATTAGGCAGTTGCATAAACTACTATTTAAGGCATCCTCGCCGAGATAAATCGCCGGAAAAAAATCGTTTGTGTAAAAGAGCACTGACTTCTTCAAAAGATGATTACGTGCTTCGGAGGGTAACCATGTTAACCCTGTCTAGATTAAATACTTAGGCAGCTGTCGTGGTATAATTATGTCAGAGGCCTACTATTAGTAGACGTTTAAAAAGGTCTGATTTCAATTCAGGGTACACAATGTAATTCACTGAATCCGATTCCCTGAATGTAAGTATGATCTTTTTGTTGAAATCTGATCGAGTAATTTATGAGATACAACAAACAAATATTTCAAAAAAGAAACTTACAGAGGCATCAAAAAGCCACGGGTCTTGAGCCGCATAAGCAACTGTCCCGTTAACCTGTAGCGTCCCAGACAGTCTGCCTACCCCGCAAGGAATGTAGCGTGAGTTACTTACAGAGGCGTCAAAAAGCCATTGGTCTTGCGCAGCGTAGGCAACCACTCCATTAACCTGTAGCGTCCCAGAAGACGCACTTAGTTCCCGTAGCATCGCTTGCAGGAGAGTTGATTTGCCAAACCCTACTAAGATAGATTACTACCTATCAGTGGCAAAGGATCCATACATGCCGATTCCCACCAGCTTCCTTTTCAGGAGTTAACATATCCATACTCTCTAATCAATCTACTTTTATTAAGTACATTTTTGCTCCGGTCTACTTTCGTTAAAATGTCACCCTTCGCCACTGCTACCTACCCCGTAAGGAATGTAGCGTGAGTTACTTACAGAGGCGTCAAAAAGCCACGGGTCTTGAGCCGCATAAGCGACTGCCCCGTTAACCTGTAGCGTCCCAGAAGAAGCGCTTAGTTCCCGTAACATCGCTTGCAGGAGAGTTGATTTTCCGGATCCCACTATGCCCACTATTGTTGTTAAGGTGTCCGGTTTTATCTGGAAAAAATTAAATACTTCATTACAAAAAAGCCGGTCAAGTGCGAGTCGAACTCGCGCAGAAAGGGTTCCGTTTACGCGTTCTTGAGATAAACGGTCTTGACAGACAGACAGACAGACGGACTACAAAGTGATTCTTTAAGTGTTCCGTTTTTTTTACCTTTTGAGGTACGTAACCCTAAAAACAGGTCAAGAGTGTGTCAGATACGCCCACAAACAGGGTTTTGTAGTCAACGTAGCATTACAACAAAAATAAACAAGTATCAGGTTTTTCAGAGTTACAATAGTAGTTTATGCAACTGTCCTCGGAAATGGACATCCTGGAAAATAAACATTTTAGGAAAGGGTAATTCGGGAAAGGGACATTCCGCACCTAAATACAATTCCTTTTGGTCATTCGGCCTGTTGCTCAGGGAAAGTTGTTCAGTTTCATAAGCAAATTTTTAAAACCATGAAATATCTCGCTCGCTTCGCTTGCTAATAAGTTAGTTAGTTGTTAGTAATTAAGTAAATTTGACTTACAGTAAGGTTGATATCTATCAAAGCTGGTGTATTAGTGTGCTCATCTTCAGCACTCTTCCAAAACGCGTTGTAGTCGCGAAGAACGATTAGCTCTGGATTTCGAGGTACCAGGTTCGAGT